GATCTCACTGTTGGTGAGTTCAAGCCCCATTTCAGGCTCTGTGAGGACAGCTAGGAGCCTGGAGCCTGCTTTGGATTCTGTGTCTCCCTCTCTCTCTGCCCCTTCCCTGCTCACACGCTGTCTGTCTCTATCTCTCTCTCTCTCTCTCAAAAATAAATAAACATTAAAAAACATAAAAAAATAAAATAAATCAGATTTAAATCTAGTTATCACAGGTGGTTTAAAGAGAAAGAAGTCAAGCTCTGGAATCAGAGTACCTGAATTCAAAGCCCAGCTCTGACTTTTAAGAGTAGATAATTTGCCCAAGGTCACAGGGCTCCTTATGTGTGAAATGGAGATGATCATAATACTTAGTCATAGTATTGTCTTAAAGATTAAATGAAGTAATTCATTCAACAACTATGCGCCAAATATTGTTAGGCACCAGGGGTACAGTGAGTAAATGCATATACAGGACATTTAATAAACTTGGATTTTTTCATCTAAAAGCTCATACCCACAGACTTAGGATTATATATAGGATTTAAAGAAGTTTTGAGCTGTAGAAACAGGAATGAATTATTTATTGAGCCTCCAAGATCATGGATCAGCATTGAAATGCTGATGAACACACAATAGTATCCAATTACAAGAGAGTATTGTGTGATTGGGCATCAAAAGCAAAATGCACCTGTTGACTGATTTAATACGTGCATTGAGCAGTTTATGTAGCGTATTAATTAATTTTCAATGCACTGAAACTGGTTGTCAGGCGTTTAAATATTTCTTTCAGAACAACATCTGTGAAAACTTAGAACAATGATGAAAGCATGAATAAAAAATGAAAAGGTGTGACTTATGTAGACAGTTATTAATACTGGTGATAAAGTTTTTTTCTTTTTTTTTTTTTTAAACGTTGTTCATTATTTTTTGAGAGGATTAAAAACCCTTTCCCCCTATTGGATACTTTTGCCCTTCCCTAAGAGTAACATTCCCCTCAGTCATGTTTTTATCAAAAAAAAATCTATGATGATTTAGTTCTCTGTTTTTTATTTTTTTTTTCAACGTTTTTTTATTTATTTTTGGGACAGAGAGAGACAGAGCATGAACAGGGGAAGGGCAGAGAGAGAGGGAGACACAGAATCGGAAACAGGCTCCAGGCTCTGAGCCATCAGCCCAGAGCCCGACGCGGGGCTCGAACTCAGACCGCAAGACCGTGACCTGGCTGAAGTCGGACACTTAACCGACTGCGCCACCCAGGCGCCCCAGTTCTCTGTTTTTTAAATCAGTATGTTACTCCTAGGATATCTGGGACCATGGAGGGGGATGAGAAAAACCAAATATGGTGTACCTTTCCTGAAGCATCAATTTTCCTCAATTTTTCATATTGAAACCAACAAGGATTTATCATGGAGCAGGATGCAAAATCCACCTGACTTCATAAAATAAAATGAAACGTTAAAGAAATTTCTCCTTGTACTAGCCTCTAATTAATCAATTAACTAACTTTTTGCACTGGCCTCTTGAGAGCATATTTGGGGTACAGAGGCTTTCTTTTCTTTAGGAGAAAGGTCAGCAACTATTGTACACAAGGAATGGATATTTCTTCACTTTGCATTGTCAGAGACAAAAGGTTTGGAATCACACTTAAACATGGCTTTAATTACTTTGCTTATTTCTAAACTTTTTATTGCTTTCTGTTATCTACTGAAATTAAAAATAAATTATCACACACCACGAAAATGAATTCAACGCAACATACTTCTAACTAGGACACGGTGTCTCAACTCTGAAACAGCATTCACGAAAACCCTGTGCTACTACAAAATCTGAGAGAAAGACATTTCTGTGTTATTGGAATAACACAAGATGCTAAAAGAAGACCTGTGGAAAAGAATGAACTTGAGTGCAAATTTTCCCCTACAGTTAGCCTTGAATATGACTGCAAACTAATTTGAAGGAATTTACTTAACCTTCGAAGCTTTATCCAAAATGTCAGCCATTCAGAATCTAAGAAGTGCTTATAAAACCCATTCTCTAGTTCATTAATCTGCTTACTCTTTTCACAGGATTTACCACGGTCAGAAACGTATCTTAATCATTCGTTTAACTTGTTTATTGCCTGTCTCTTCTATCCCTGACCCTCAAAAGTAGGGTCACTTGTATCTCCAGCATCTAGCTAGGCACTTGGCTATCTCATAATGGACGCTCAAAATATATTTGTTGAATTTCGGTGATGACCACTTTATATGGCACGCATATTCGTCAAGAAAACACTGAAGCGAAGGGCAGGGGAAGTGTATCTGACCTCTTCAAAAGTGCAGGATCCTACTTGATGGAGTGAATGTCCATCTGTGCTCTCCGCATCCGTTACCATCTCTGATGCTGAAATGCTGACGGAAGGGCAAGGTCTTGGTAGAAAAACGGGGATCACGTTTCTCCTTAGGACCAGAAACTAATGGTTCCCAGGGAATTTGCAGCTTTATATGATCTGAAAGTTCGTACTTTTGGAGATTAAATAGCACCTCTTGTAAGGGCAGGAAATTACTCATCTGTTTAAGGGAATCCCCGGCCAAGCGCGGTAGGGGTTTAACGCCACCTCCCCGCTCGCCCCGCGGATAACCCCAGGCCCGGCCCTCGGCCTCCCGCGTCCGGCAGCGCGCGCGGCTGGGGCGCACCGGGACCTCCACACCGCAGCTCCAGCACCCGCGCTCCGGGGTTCGGGAGGGAGGGGCGCTCTGCCCTGGGTTCCACTCCCGTCCTCAGTGAGCAGCCCGCCCCCTGCCGGGCGGGTCGCACCTTTCGGAACCCTAGGGAGCAAGGCGACCCCGAGGCCCGGGCGAGGGTGGAGCCGGGTCCCCTGCTCACCGCTGCGGAGCCTGTTGCCGTCGCCGGCCTTGTTGAGGGCGCTGCTGGAGCAGCCCATCGCGGGCAGAAGGGCGGCCTTGTGGGTGAGCGCAGCCACCTGTCCCAGCCTGGCGCGAGGGTCGGCCAGGAGCTCGGATCCCGCGCAAACTGCACCCGCGGCGCAGAAGCTTCTCCGGCGGCTGGCCCGGCTCTGGCGGGTGCAGAGCGCAAGCGCACAGCGGAGCGCCGGGGTGCCGGGCGCACCTGCGAGGGAAGGTTGCCGCCGGGAGGTGGAAGGGGCCAGGGGGCCGGGCAGGCGGGAACGAGGAAGCAGAAGACAGGAACAGGGAGCCCGGTTGGCAGGAGGTGGAGGGTGGGGTCAAGGAGAAGAGGAAAAAAGACTCAGAGAGGCATAGGGAGGATGCCCCGGAGAGAACGAAGGACTGGGAGGGCTCATCTGAATCATCACTAAATAGCTGGGGAGGGGGGAGGAGGCGATTGTGGCCCGTGGCTATTGATTGGTAGACCAGCTTTGGATGGCAGATCTGTTCTTACATAACAGCAGTTGTGTTGCCACAAGGAAGTTTGCTGTTAACACTATTTAATCCACCTCATATTCAACGTTGGCCAATTGTCCAATCCAGGACCACACATTACATTTAGTTGTCATGCCTCTTTAGTTTGCTTTAATGTTTATTTATTTCTGAGAGAGAGAGACAGAGTGTGAGCAGGAGAAGGGCAGGGAGAGAGGGAGACACAGAATCTGAAGCAGGCTCCAGGCCCTGAGCTGTCAGCACAGAGCCGACGTGGGGCTCGAACCCATGAACCGTGAGATCATGAACTGAGCTGAAGTCAGACGCTTAACGGGCTGAGTCACCCAGGTGCCCCTAGTTTGCTTTAATCTGATGTAGTTTCCCAGACTTTGTCTTTCATGACCTTGACATTTTTTAAGAGAACAGGCCATTTATTTTGTAGAATATTTCTCAATTTGGATTTGTCTGATGTTTTCTTATGACTGTTTTCAGGCAATGCAGTTTGGGCTGGAATACAAGATGTTATGTTGTAACATAGGCACATGATGTCCCCTTGCTGGTGATGTTAACTTTAATTAGTTAGGGTAGTGTTTGCCAGGTTTGCCGCCAAAAAGTTACGATTTTACTCTTCATAATTTATGGGGAAAGACTTTAAGACTAATACCCTGTATCTCATCGAACTTTTATCTGCTACTGTTAGCATACATTAACATTCCTGCTGGGATCAGTTATTACTATGATGGCTATCAAATGGTGATTTTTTCTAACGTTTATTTATTTTTGAGACAGAGAGAGACAGAGCATGAATGGGGGAGGGTCAGAGAGAGAGGGAGACACAGAATCTGAAGCAGGATCCAGGCTATGAGCTGTCAGCACAGAGCCCGACGGGGCTCGAACCCACCCACGGACCGTGAGATCATGACCTGAGCCGAAGTCGGACGCTTAACTGACCGAGCCACCCAGGCACCCTATAATTGCCCCTTCTTATAAGGATACCAGTCATGTTGGATTAGGGCCCACCCATATGACCTCATTTTGCCTTAATTACCTCTTTAAAGGGCCTGTCGCCAAAAGAGCCATATTATAAAGTTTAGGAATTCAACATATGAATGAGGGAACACGATTCAGACCATAACACCATCATTACTGATTTGGATGCTCAAATTGCCTGAAATTTGGCATATTTCCTTACACGGGCCATAGGGGTACACAGCTATGGTCTCTACAGTGTATTTAGAGGTCTCCCTCCCTTCCTTCTCTACCCCCCTTTCTTCTCCCCTTCCTGCTCCCTTCTTTTCTCACTTTTCTCCTCTTTCTTTCCTTCCTGCAGTGCAGGCCCAACAAAGCCTAGGCCACCCCAGCAATCAATTCACAAATCCCTTCCAGTGAGGAGGAGACTGGGTGTCTTTGAGGAAGTACACTTTACAACATTACAAATACATATTATGACTCTTCTAGCCTTCTATCCAGGGTTACCATGTCCCAAGAGAAGTACTTTTGAGAGTGGCTAAGGATTTGGCTGGATTCCAAGTCCCTGAGTAAATTGACAGGATTAGTGAAAGGAAGTTTAGGGGGAGAGGTATGTGAATGGACCTGGCAGAATAGACCAAAATTTGGGGGAATATTTATGTCTTACATAAATGCTATCAAAAGGCTGTTAGGTTGGGCTGTCCTAACAAAATGCCATAAACTGGGTGGCTTAAATAACATACTTATTTCTCACAGTTCTGGAGCCTGGGAAGTCTAATATCAAGGTACCAGCCAATTTGGTTTCTGGTGAGAACTCTTTTTGGCTTGCAGGAGGCAACCTTCTCGCTGTGTCCTCACATAGGGGTTGGGGTGGAATCTTCTTCCTCCTATAAGGCCACAGCCCTAACAGATTAGGGCCCCACCCTTATGACCTCATTTAACCTTAACTACCTCCTAAACCCTACCTCCCCATTGAGTCACATTGAGGGTAAGGGGTTCCACATATGAATGGGGGAGGGAGGGGACACAAGTCAGTCCAGAGCAGGTTCCCACTTCAGCCGACGCTTTTGTAAGTTAAAGTCACATTTAATTTTATTTAGCTAGTGAAATTTTTCAAAACTCCATTCTTCCTCAAAAGAGCTGCAATAACTTACAGATTTTGTTTTGAGTTTATTTATTTATTTTGAAAGAGGGGGAGGAGGGGCAGAGAGAGAGAATCCCAAGCAGGTTCCGTGCTGTCAGCACAGAGTCTGATGCGGGGCTCGATCCCATGAACCATGAGATCATAACCTGACCTGAATTCGAGAGTCGGATGCTCAACCGACTGAGCCACCCAGGTACCCCAAGATTGGTTAAATATGAACACTAACTTGAAATTCTCTGAGTCCTAATGTTTTCATGCTTACTGAGCCCAGTTAAGTTTCCTCCTTTCCCCATCAATTATTTTTTGACTGGGGTATCTTACTTTTCCTTGAAGATAATTTGTCAGCCAAGCCGTGGTCTCTTCCATTTTTCTTCAGAGGAAGCATTTTATAATCAGGTGAGTAATACTAATCAGGTGTCCTGTGGATGTTAGAAAGTCTTTCTCATGAGCCACCTCAAGTCTTGCTCAATGAACTCAGGAATAAAACGGCTCTAAGAACAGGGAGAGAAGCCATATATATGCTCAATACCATGTTCCTCCACTTAACACGGTTTCCCTGGGTAAGTGCCCAGTTTGCCAGCAGCAGTAAGAGTAACCAAGTGTAAGCCTCCAAAATGGCACCTATAATTTGAGGGGACCTATCAGCCACCTTGTGAAAGAGTGATCAGACCTCTTTTGAAGCACTGGAAAATCTTTATTTTATTTTATTTTATTTTATTTTATTTTATTTT